ATAGACGCATTTGGCTGGGACAATGTCCGCAGATACTTTACAGGTTACGCGGACGACTTCACCATGCATCGCACCATCCGCAGCCAAACAGACGTGGACGCTGCTCACAAGATGATCCTACAGCTTCTGTCGGAGGTGACGAAACTGGGATTATGCGTCAACCCGGCCAAATGTGCCATGCTAGTCAAGCTTAACGGCAGAGAGGCGGAAGCCGTGCTTAAGAAGCACACCTGCTGGCTGCCCGACTCGACGGGCACACTACAGCGGCATTGGCGACTGGGCAAGCACAGATCCTTCCCTGCATACAAACTTGAGGTGCAAATCAAGTACCTGGGCATCCAAATTTCCTATGGGAACTTTGAAATGCAGACGCTGCGATTCCGCATAGCGGAGGCTGCCAAAAAGCTCCAGCAGGTCAAGCGATTCGTCTACAATCGCCGCACCGCGGGGCCAATGGCCAGGCTAAAGGTCTGGTTCACCACCGTTTGGGCCACCTTGGTCACGGGACTCCCCGAAGTCGGCCTCACGGAGGAGACGGCCAGGCATCTTAGAGGCTGGTATGCGCACAAGATACGCTCGGTCCTCAATCAGCCTGCACACGTCGGCCACACACCTACAGCTGACCTGTACCGACTATATTCAATCCAAGACCCGGTAGCCAAAATCCAAACAAGGATGGCTTCTAGACTCAAGCGGTTGTGCAAGAGAACAGCCCCCTCCGAAGCCACCACTACAGCCCTGCCTGCACACACTCCCAGTGAACCCTCAGCGACGCGGGGCCCATGGGCCAGGCTGAGTCCACCAGCGACGGGCCTAGCAACACACCAGCAGCCGTCTGAACCACATACATACGGTGACGTCACGCAACTGAGCCACGTCGTACAGGACCTACAGGACATGCTGAGAGAGGTGGAAAACCTCCCGGCGAGCACCGAGGCCTCACAGCAGCGGCTACACGCCTGCCCTCACTGCGAGTCGGGTTTTGTCTCTGCACATGGCTTACACATGCACGTCACGCGAATGCATCGCGAGCACGTGCAAAGGTACATTCCCCCCTCCTTTGATCGCAGTCGGCACTCCAAGGATGGTCTACCTGTATGTTCTGCATGCGACAAGGCTTTCCATCAATGGAAAGGCCTACGTGACCATCTCTTATCGGGGGCCTGCACGCAGCCGGAACGACTGCGTCAGATCTCTCTCACCACTGAGGAACAGATGCAGGGTCAGGCCCTCCAGGGCCTGGCGGCCTTTCGCGCCAAGGTGCAGAGTTCGCCCAGCAACAAACTCAGTGCCATTGCCACCCGTCCAGAGGCTCAGGAGCTTAAGCATCGGTGCATTTTGTGCGGTTTTTGGACCCCGGACCATACCAAGATGAAGAATCATCAACGACAGGCCCATGCACAAGCATGGCAGCGAGATGGTCCGGCAGCACTTCAGCTTTGCAAGGCCTATTCTGTGCAGATGATAAAGGGGCACCCCTGCCCCTTTTGCAGGCTGCCGGTCTATGACAAACGCAAACACCCTGAGCAATGCATTGTCCTGTTTCAGGTTCTGCTTGGGTGGCACAAGGTGCAAGGCACGGACAAGATGCGGGAACAATGTTCCAAGCCTCATCCCAAGACCGCGGTGACAATGTCACTTAGTGGCTTTTTTGGGGCTGCAGACAAGCCAGCTACCGCGGCTGCATCACCCACTGTTGCCATGGCAACGACGGGCGCCGTCGGCAGCACTCTCCCGCCAGGCCTGTATTCTCGTATGCGACACATGGTGAACTCGGGTAACACCTGCTATGTCAATGCGACCATTCAGGCCCTACTAGCCGCGCTAGACTCTGCGTCCAATGTAGCGGAACTGGGACCACTGGTCCAACACTGCATCAACCCGGAAGCGGATCCAATGGATACGAGGCACATAAACCCTCCAAGCCTATTCGCTCTCCGGTCCTTAGTGCCTAGATGGCGATTCGATGGCCGTCAACAAGACGCCTCCGAATTTGTCACATACATGCTAGAGCACAACACGGGGACTCTGCAACCCGCTCGCTGGGAAGGACGCACTAATGGAGTGCCGGAAAGTGAGGATGACGGCCTCACGCCGTTGCTGCTGCCCCTTTCCTCAGCCTGTCGTACACTGCAGCAGGCCTGCACGGCATGGTATGACCACACGTTCCAGCGCGCCCTGGCATGGGCCCCTGACATCCTGCCAGTCACAATCGCTCGATGGATGGACGGCACAAAACGACGCACCCCGCTGGACCTGCGCAGGCACCTCTCAATGCCGTCTTGGATTGAGGGTCAGGGCCGGCAATGGCATCAATATGCAGTCATTTCGGGAGTTTTTCACATAGGTGCTGACATACACTCCGGCCACTACCGGTCCTTCTGGATTCACCCAAATGGAGGCGCGCTGTATGTGGGGGATGATGCCACCCGCCCATACCCAGCCTCGGCCTCAGATCGCAAACATGTTATGGAAGACTGCTACCTCCTTTTCTTGAGAAGACAGGAGTGACTCTGACTCACCCTCAAGGGGTGAGTGCTGGCCCTCCAAACCTAGGAATGCGTGCACCAATAGGGTGCCTGTGCGTGGGAAGGCCGGACCCCACAATAGGTGGGCATGGCCCCCCCCACGTCAAGGCCAAGCATGCTTTAGGCATGCGCAGGCTTACCCGCAGCTTTTCAGGCTGACCCAGCATGGCTGACACGATCCACAGCCCGGACCACAAAAGTGGTCGAACCGCCTCTCCCCTGGCTCCAGATTCACTAATGGGAGAGCCATCTGAGCCGCTTGGGGTCGACACTCGACGCCAGACATCCGGAGGCGGCAAGCAGCGGCAAGGCAGCGCCCTGCATGCCCTCTCCAACGCTGCAACCAATGGTGCCACTGGCAGACTAAGCAGTAAGTCGCGGAGGCCATGCCTGTTCTCACTTGCGTCTCTTCCGAGACAGACTGATGGCCCTTCTGCCGGATGCCGCCGCTGTCAGTCGGAAATCATGCCCTAGCCTGCTGCCGGTCGCGCTACTGCTGCTCTGCTGACAGCATACACAACGCGAATTCCGTTTCAATGTTCAGGTACATACAACAATCTGGAGCTTGATACCCTGCAGCCTGCAAACTCGCTTTGGCTGATCACTGCCAGTTAGCTCAAAGCCTGTAGGCCGCAACCACTCAAAGGTCTTTTGACCTGGGCGGATCAGCTATAGGGTCTGAGTCAGTTTCACACCAAAGTGAGTGCACCGCGGCAATCGCCCGCTATGTGCAGAGCCCGCTCGCACAGCGTTCAATTGAAAAATAGTAGTAGTAGTAGTAGTAGTAGTAGTAGTAGTAGTAGCAGTAGCAGTAGCAGTAGCAGTAGCAGTAGCAGTAGTAGTAGTAGTAGTAGCAGTAGTAGTAGTAGTAGTAGTAGCAGTAGTAGTAGTAGTAGTAGTAGTAGTAGTAGTACAGTAGTACAGTAGTACAGTAGTAGTAGTAGTAGTAGTAGTAGTAGTAGTAGTAGTAGTAGTAGTAGTGGTAGTAGTAGTAGTAGTAGTACTACTACTACTACTACTACTACTAGTAGTTGTAGTACTAGTAGTTGTAGAACTAGTAGTAGTAGTAGTAGTAGTAGTAGTAGTAGTAGTAGTAGTCGTAGAAGTAGTAGTAGTAGTAGTAGTAGTAGTAGTAGTAGTAGCAGTAGTGTAGGGGAGCTCAGCGCACAAATACAATGAGCCCTTGCCTAAATCTGGTCACTTCGACTTTAGCGAAACTTATTCGGAAGTTTCATTCTTTTCGCTGTGCCGGATCCTGATTGTGGCACGTCCCTGCATGGAGCCTGCTGTGGCATTGTGCAATCAAGGGCTTGGGACCTGCACACCTGCAGACTGAATGTATTTTCATTAAACAAATGCAGTGTCGCGTCATGCAACAACTGTCGCGGAAATGTTGATGCCTTTCGCGGAACCATGCGGACAGGTTCTGTCTGTAACATCTGATAAACTCTTGTATAAAGATTCGACGACTGGGGCCGCTACATCAATGCTCAACTGGTTCTACTGTGCATATATGAAAATCCTGGCTGAAAATACTCGCAACCCGGACCCCTGAGGGTCACTGACATGCCATTAAGGTCTTTGGGTCTTGGATTTTACTATGAGGGCTTATAGTTTGGGGGTTATGCGTACTGTACGGGCTTAAACTTATTAGAAGCTTGGAACAATGCAGCTCAGAAGAAGCTTTTCGGGGTTCAAGAGTTCGGGGTTTAAGGTGTACTTAGGATTCCGGATGACAAGATCACGTTGGAGAGATGTCGGGCCAAGGCATACTGGAATTTGTGATATTTGTGTGGGCGCACGTTCAGGATTTAGATCTCGCAAGCTGGCTGGGGCCGGCGCCAATATCCTATGAAGCTTTCCATCTCTGGGACGTTGATCACCGAAAGCGTGTCAATATGCCTGTACCTGGAGGAAGCCCATAGAGCCTAAGGCGACCTTCGTGACTCCTGCAACATGTTTCTGCCCAGGACAAAGTCAACGACTGAGTGATAGTATCAGATTTCATCCGATTCCTATTGTGCCGCTGTCTGTGAATAAGGGCTCCGACAAAGAATGGGAATAAAGCTGTTGACCAGACATGGTAGTTGTCAACGTCAACGCCAAAGTCGCTGCTGACGATGAAACGTTGCTCAGCAAACAGGAATTGGCTCCCGCTTCTTCCTAGAGACTATCACTTCTGGTCAAATGGCCATCTAGTCGGGCTATTGGGGCTTCTCTCCGAAAGGGCTGATGCTGGATTCAGGGTTCAATCTGGCAGACTCACAGTGGGTTTAGGGGGCGCGGGTTTGACCCCAAACCTGAGAAAGGGCCCTACCCTCTCAAGGCAGTGGGATGCTCAACAAAATGACGAAACTCACTGTTCAAAAGACACAAGTACTATGTACAGCAACTCTGCTACTAATTCTGAAATCGCGAAGTATTTTGCATCCGTAACCCTCGACTCCAGTGCGAAGCATTTTCCTCAATCTTTCAGCAAAGGGTGGCTCCCAGTGATGCCACGGAGTTGCGCACGGCCTCCAAATTTGGGGGAGCGTTTTTCTCAGGTCTGGCATAGCGTATGCAAAAGCTATAAAGACAAAGAGGATGTCATAGACAGTGCAGGGCGCTTCATTACGTTGCTAGGTCTCGACGGACGGACCCCAAGAAGAAATGAGTGCTGTGGAACTTTCATGCTTGTCTCAGCTCTGTGATTGGACATCATGGGGACGGTCTGCAAGCCTTTAGACGCTTTTTTTTGCTCAGCTTTACTCAGAATTACGTTCACTAATACCGGTGTGAAGCTTCAAAGGCGTCAACTGTGGGCATAGGGAACTCTCCGCAGGTCAACAGATGCGTACCCGCACACCAAACAGCCGAACCCTAAAGCCCTGAATGCTTTGGCAGGAGGAGTATTCGAGGCAACTCTCTAAACTCCAGACTTCGTCAGGATCAAAAGAAGGCCAACGGCACCAGGGATGAAAGGGATTGATGCCAGTTCGATGAAGAATGCGTGTGGCTCTAAACACCTGAAGTTTCTAAAGTAGGAGTACCTGAATGGCTCTCGAGAGCTGTAATTCATTGCGTGAGGTGCGGCGCTCACTTTGTAGAGTCTCTGGGTTGGGTCGCTGCAAGAGCATAGCAACTTGACATCCAGCTTATCACGCAGAAGCACCACCCACAACAACAGCTGCTTGCTGTATGGACTCACCTGACTGCTGACGCTGCTGCTGCTGTTGCTACTACGAGTATCACTGCAACACCACTGCCACGACTATTATTATAGGACGACTACTACGACGACGACGCGACGAGACGGCGACTGCTACGACTGCTGCAGGGAGACATGCGACAAGCCGCAAACCATCCCTCGAAGGTTGACCTGGTAAGCGGCGTAGGCTTGGTGGTCGTCCAGAACGGCAGTCGCCGAGGCCAACAGCAGCCTGCCATGCCATCCCGAGAGAGCGCACAACCCTTAATGAAGGGCGCTATGTGGATGCACAAGGGACGTTTGGTTGTAAAGTGGGGATCTTCGCGCTCAGCGGTCTCTATTCTGAGCATGAGAAAAGCAGTCATGCTCAACGCAATGTGATCACAGGGTCATAAGGACTTGCAGTGGCAACACAAAGCCTGCGGCATATCACTCAGATGTATTGAGCACGTCTCTGTGTGTAAGCTAGCATGGGGACCACCGTTGTTGCATTCGTCCGGATGAAGGGGAAAAAACCAATTGTAATGATGCCGACGAAGGTGAGGGGGTGATAATTTATGACGAAAATGGTGGCGGTGGAGGGAACCATGATGATGGTGATGCGGCTTGCACACATCCTGGCCACGCTGATGACGACGTTGCCGTTGTTGATGATCATGGCATGATGGACTTGCCTCCAGTGCCGCTCGCCTGCTGGTACACCAGATTCCTCCCAGGCTTCAAGCTTTGAGACTCTTCGCCCCAGTCCCAAACATGGAACCCTAGGATCCAACTCGACATCAGCCTCGACCACGAAATCCTAACACGCACAGAGACCAGAACAAAACCGTAATCATCACATCGGCAATTCAAACGCCCTCAATTGCTGTGAACGAGCATGCGACCTGAAACACCCCGTTCGGTAGTCCTGCACATCGAGGTGACTTGGATTTTAAGCATTTGGGATGTGGGATTAGGGAGCAAGGTGTTTTCGTCCAGCAGGGACAAAAGGGCTCCGCCTGGGGGCGGAGGCACCTCCGGTTTCGGTGAAACGAATCATCACCTGAAGCAGGCACTAGGTTGAAGATCTAGAGCAAGGATGTGTACATGTGCACAGATAGAAAGCTAGATAGAGAGAGGTAGAGAGATGGACACATCGATCGAACGATAAATCGAAAGACAGATTGACCATCGATCTAGAGTATAGACTGATGTTGTATGCCGGAGTGTCGCCGCCCCAACACAGGCTTCTGCTCTGGAGAATATAGAACCAAAGGGAAGATGCATACCCCCCGCCGCAAGCCCACTTGACTCACACGGCGAAAAGACGACGACTGAAGCTCCCGTAGGGCATCACTGTTATACAAATACACCACTTCTCACACTGCCACTGCCGATGCTACCACTGCTACGACCTCCTACGACAACGACGACGACTACCGCTATTACTCCTACTCCTGCTCCTACTCCTGCTCCGACGACCACTGCTAGTGCTAGTGCGAGTCACTACTATTGCTTCTGCTGTTGCCACTACCACGGCCAAAGCCACCAGATCACTACAACTATCACTGCCACTACCACCATCACTATGACGACGACTGCTAGTACCATTTTCACTTATCAGTAGCGCTGCCACGACCACTCACTGCCGCATAACCTTCTCCATCATGAGGTCATCGCAACAGACAGTGTTGCATTTCAGTTTTGGGACTTGCTTGCCCGATGTTTGGATACCCTCTGCTAAGCCTTTACAGTAGACTCTTCTTGTAGAGCAACCTTTCGCCAACACAAACTACGCCGCCGCCACGACCCCCTGTGAATTTTGACGACTTGCCATGCAACAGATCCTGCCCAAACCGGAGTAAAACCCAACACCCTAGCATGGCCTACACACGAGACGGTCCTCGGCAGTCAACTCCAACAATTCCACCAGCAGGCTGCCGCAAACCTTCGCTGCGAGAGGCTCGAGCTGGCGCGCGGAGTCTTCAAGCTTCAGGGCTCTCGGTTTAGTGCTGGGAGGGCTGCTCCGGAGTCCATGCCGTGGGGCAAACAGTTGAGGGTAGAGGGTTGCAGAAGGCTCTACACTGTGGGGAAACGTTCAGTAGGAGCCCCATGCCTGACATCCGAAGCCAAGAAAGGTAAACTCCTTACTCCTTGTCCCAACACTTAGCATTCAAAACTTTGCATTGGCACAAAACGAAATATACGTGAACCTTCAACATGCTCTTCGGCTTCGGCAAGGGCATGACGTATGTATATGTGTTGATTCAACATGCACAATGTGTGGTTTCCAGGCATGTTTTCACCTCGAACGAGGAAGTTGCAGGAAATACCCGTGCACCACTCTGAAGCCTCTGACCCCTGAACATGGCTTAAAGCCGAGACCTGAGCCTGACTGAACCCTGCAACCCGAACCCGGCCTCCTTTATGGTCTTCAGCACTTTGGCCGACTCCAGCACAACCTCCACAGGCCAACACAACCGCGGAATGCCCTGAATCCTTGGTTACGTCTGGGTTCCAGAGTAGCGGGTTCTGGTGTGCTTCTTGCTCTTCCTGCCTCTCTCCAGGTATCATGTGATGGCAAGCGGCTCTTTGATCGGACTCCGCAACTTCAAAAACTGACGTCTGACACAGGCGTACCAGCGCCCACGCCTTGCTACTCATAGATCTCACATCTTTATTGCAAGGTTTCCCCATAATTTGTTGCGACCTGGGCAGTATATCTCCCCGCCTTCAAGTACAGTCCTTAAAAGGATGGGGGTGCTGAATAGGGAGCCTACAGTACTTGTTTGAAATGCGCAGCCAAGCTGAAGCCGCGAAGCGCCCGCGACAATCAGAAGCGAGAGATTAGATCAGAACACGACATGAGCAGATAAAATTGAAATCTGCTCCCCTGTGCCGGGATGCTAACTCAACAGATTTTGCTGGAGTGCTGTCGAGCCTCACAGTACATAAACCAACAAGACGGAGTTTAAGCGGACTTCCGGCGCAAGTCAGAAGGGGGGGTGCGTGACAACTACGCATGCAGGGCGTGATTTAAACGTATCATCGGCTGTTCCCTTTGAGAGTTCTGAGACGCAGCTGCATCTGGATTGCGAGCACCATGAGACTCAAACAAGCATATCATGTGGAATGTGCACGCCGTGTAATTCGTTCCGGCAGAAAGAGGCCCCAAGGCAGAAACCGACCTCAAACTCCTCAGAGCCCAGTCCTGACTAGCAGAAACCTAAATGTAAACTACACCAAGGGCTCGTAGTAGGCAGTCAAGCAAAACATGCCGTTGCCTTGCCAACCCTAAACCCCAAACCCGAGAAAACAAACCCTCGAAATCGGGCGTCCTCTGTCCGCTTGATTCGCAAATCATGGCAGAAAAGGCATGGGTACCTCGATCTGTACCAGTTTGGAACTTCTAGGCCTTATAGGGTTGGGGTGTTCTGAGATTGGGGTCTTGCGATTTTGGAGCGTGGGCTTGTGGGTTTATCGGTTGCGGTTCCGGCTGTGCTTCTGATATTCAGTGTAGTACTTGTACAGCTTTAATATAGAGCGGTCATCAACAAGCAGATGCCCTAGTCATTGCAGCCCCTAAAGAACTGGAAAGCCTCAAGCCCACCGTATTCGATTCGCTGGGCTTCCGACATGATCGCAGGTAGGGCCTCGCCGAGGAGGCTCCTGGAGAAGGCAACGGCTCCCGGCAGCTCCCCTCAAGCCGCCACTGAAGAAGGAGCTCGGAAGGAATGGGCTGTGCATTTCGGGCCGAGTTCCCACACCCCGATAACTGCAAGCAGACACATGGCTGTGATTATTAAGTCATCCTCTGCTGCACGCCAGCATGAATCCTGGCCAGCACCTGCGACCAGGCGCAGCTCTAGCGGGCCAGTTGCGTGCAATTTGAGGTCTGCGTGTTTGGGGTCTGTGGGGAAGTTGCTGACTCTTGGGATGGAGGTTTGGATGATGACATCAGAAAGTTTTGGCGGCGGCTGTACGAGCTGTGCCCAGCATTTTATGCTTACCATTATGGCTAGCTATGCTCATGAGAAACCAAAACCTCAAAGCGCTCGTTAGCATTTGCGGAGTTTGGTCTAGCATGTTGGGATAGCGTACCTGTCACAACGGAGGCAGCACATAGATTCGGGAAGCTTCTTCTGAAACTCTTACCCTTGTCAAGGCAAGGGCTGCAGGATTACGACAAGGCCGTCACACAGAGCTCCTTCTTGTACCCAGTTCAGGCCGACTAAAAGCTCTGGCGACAACATCTGCACAAAACAACTCTGGGGCCGCGGGTGCTCATCAGCTCCGGTGCCGCGGGGTGTTGTGGCTGCAGCTCTTGGAGCGGGTGGTGGGCGTCAGGTGACGCTCGTACGGGTTTGCAGACGAGGATGCTGGGTGGATACTGGGACAGAAAAGGATATGTAACCCTCCCAGGCCAAACCCTGGCTGAAATGGTGTTCGACCCACGACATACCTCCCAAGCTCTGCAAGCCTCCAGGTCGAAGCAAACGGCTTCCGAGACCTGCGCATAAGCTCGGGGTTTAGGGGCTTACAGATAGTTGGGGCTGCACTTGGAGAGGGTTATGCCTGAAAGAGACGATGATTGAAGCCGCGCAGCTCGGGAAATAGTCCTTCGATGTGTTGCGAAGCCTTTGACGCCTCTGCTGAGACCTTCAAGCAGAAATACCCTCAAAAACCTGAACCGCGGGCCCAAAACCTTCACACAAACATCAAAGTCCTAGAATATTGAGCACGAAGCCCTCACGCCCAGGCCCTCACTATAAGGTCTGCAACTCCCTTCGATCAATGCCGGACCTTCGGTTCAGGCATCGATGCGCAAGACCAGCCTGGGGCAGCCAAAGGTTTAGGTTCTAGTGATTCTAGCGTTCAGACTTTGGGAATTAGGGTTTAGATTTCTTGGTTTTGGTCTAGGCTCTTTGGACATGGCGGATCGTCACAGGCACATTCCACACGAGAGTGCTGCAGCAGCAGCAGCAGTGGTAGTAGTAGCAGCAGTAGTAGTAGCAGGAGTAGTAGTGTAGTAGTAGTAGTGTAGTAGTAGTAGTAGTAGTAGTAGTAGTAGTAGTAGTAGTAGCAGTAGCAGTAGCAGTAGCAGTAGCAGCAGCAGTAATAGTGGTAGTAGTAGTAGTAGTAGTAGTAGTAGTAGTAGTAGTAGTAGTAGTAGTAGTGGTGGTAATTAGTTGCAGTGGTGGTAGTGGTAGTAGTACTAGCAGTAGCAGCAGCAGTCGCAGTGGGCAAAATCACAAGCAGTAGCCATTGGCAGTGGTGGGTAGTACTGGGTAGTAGTTTGCAGTTGTAGTTGCGGTAGTAGTAGTAGTAGTAGTAGTAGTAGTAGTCGTAGTAGTAGTAGTAGTAGTAGTAGTAGTAGTAGTAGTAGTAGTAGTAGTGGTAGTAGTAGTAGTAGTAGTAGTAGTATTCGTGGCCGTAGCAACAGTAGTAGTCGCGTCGTCCCACTAGTAGTATTGGTAGTATAGAAAAAGTGAGTAGTAGTACATAGTAGCATAAGAAGCAGTAGTCGTCGTCGTAGTAGTCGTAGTAGTAGAAGCGGCAGCACTAGTAGTGGCAGGTGGTAGTAGCAATAGTAGCACTCGTCAGTGTCGTAGAAGCAGGAGTACTAGATTAAGCAGTGTCAGCAGCAGCAGTGGTAGTGGTACTGGCAGTGGGACTGGCATTGGTCGTAGTGGTCGTAGTGGTAGTGGTAGTGGTAGTGGTAGTGGTAGTGGTAGTGGTAGTAGTAGTAGTAGTAGTAGTAGTAGTAGTAGTAGTAGTAGTAGTAGTAGTAGTAGTAGTAGTAGTAGTAGTAGTAGTAGTAGTAGTAGTAGTAGTAGTAGTAGTAGTCGTAGTAGTAGTAGTAGTAGTAGTAGTAGTAGTAGTAGTAGTAGTAGTAGTAGTGGTAGTGGTAGTGGTAGTGGTAGTGGTAGTGGTAGTGGTAGTGGTAGTGGTGGCCGTAGTAGTAGTAGTAGTAGTAGTAGCAGTAGTAGCAGTAGTAGCCATTGGTAGTGGTAGCAGCAGTAGTAGTCACAGCATGAGTTCCAGCAGCAGCAGCAGCAGCTGGAGCAATGGCGGTTACATCGCGGTTGGCAGAAGAACCACATGCCATCTGGGAGTCACGGAACTGATGCCCATGCAATCTGCCAGGGGCTGTCAGCATCGTTCGTCATAGGTGAAAACATCACGGCAACTGCGTAGGCGCATCCAGGGGTTGAAAGTTCGACTCAAGATTCTTTCGATGCAGAGGCTCGCAGTATTCCTTTGTCAGGGCCGCGGCCTCTTATTGCAGGCTGGTTTGGGCGTAAGGACAGCAACTAGCAACAGAAAGCCCTCAATAAGAAACATCTTACAGGACATACACATACTAAGTAAACTTCACGGAAATAAACACAAACCGAGAAAGCACCTTTGCTTCTTCTGCCGCTGGATTCTGTGCTTGTGGTCAGAAACCCGCGGCCAATTCCAACATCCTTGTCAAGACGACAAAACCCAAGCCGAAACACCATAAATACCCTCGATGCTATCTGCGATGTTGGCAAACAAGAAGAATAGGCATCTTGCACTGACCTACGCCTTGCGGCCAGGGTGCATAGTTGTAGCCAGTCTTCGCAGCGTGGAGCTGGAGGCCTTCAATCACGAAAGGATGCAGCGAGGCGAGACCCTGGGCAACATCTCTGGAAATAAACCTCTGGGGACACTTGTGCAAAGCACCCAACATGATAAAGTGCAGGATTGCCGAGATTGATAGTTGCCAGGCCAACAGGCAAATGGCGGTTGTTTTCGAAGATCTCGCAACAATGGGAACTGGAACTTCCATAACCTCCTACACAAGTCTTACAAGATATCTCACCTAATTGCCCCAATCTCTCCCTCTCTCTCTCTCGCATTCCTCTCTCTCTCCCTCTCTCCACGTGTGTCAATCATTCGGAGCGCCTAGGGGCACCCGCCCCAACGGCCTGGGCAACGTGAACACATGGCCAAGATGCTATGTAGACGCAAGTTGTTCTGGGCCCAGCGCATGACTTACACAGGCATCATTTCCCTATACTGCAGTTGCATTCGCAAGATATCGAGGAACGGGGCATCTGTTGTTCAAAGGCTTCTGCTCGGGATGTCAAGAGTTTCCACAGGGTCGCGAAAGGTGTTTTAGAAGACTCCCCAGATATCGAAGCCAGTTGCATGGGGTTGATGACAGGCTACTGCGGAGATGAAGGATCATGGAGTCCCGAGCTCAAGATTTTTGGGGTCTGCTGCTTGCGCTAATGCAGAAATGCTAAAATCCATCCTGCGAAACGTTTTCAATAATGTCCGCCATGAAGCAAGCAGAATATGCTAATTCGGCTCAGAAGCAGGAAAGCAGGGAGTGAACTCCGGCCGCGGCACCAGCACCTGGAACCCACAAATTTTCAGGGAGGTCCAGAAATCGAGACCTTCGCTCAGGTGCTTTCGATGTTCACCGGCACTGATGCTGTGGAAACCGACAGCAATGCTTTCATGATCCCTTTTTTCAGAAACGGTGGGGCCTGGCAGACCCTTCCCAGGGCTGGAACCGTGAACTGCGAAGTGCTGACGTCTTTATGTGATGCAAGTTGCGGCCTCCCGGACAAAGATAAAGCCAACACGTCAAAGGACAATACTCTGCCAACCTGTGAAAGACCCAAACATAGTCCAAGTTATAGGTAGCCACTCAACCCTTAACCCCTAGAAGTTCAAACACCAAGCACGACAAAAACGGCAATGCCATCAAACTCTTTGGACCGACCTCAAGGCAGCTTTGTTTTGTCGGCGAAGCTGCACCTCTTGCTGCTCGGCGTCTTTCGAGGATTTTGGGTTCACGGTTGAGTTAGGTGAGGCTTCAAGGTTCAGGGTTGAGGAAGCATGTGAAGGGAACGAACAACGTCTAAGAGTAAGCTCTTCACAGACTGGCAATATGCAAGAACTTACCGCCTGAACTCTTTACCAAGAAGGTTCAGCCATTAAATATTCCGCCTTTGAATGGGTGCGAACTTGGAACTTTGAACCGAAGTACAAGGCCTGACTAGGACAACTGCACACGGCCACCGGCTGGACTACGAAAAGGAACGACTGATTCAGTGACGTCTACCTCTATGTTCAGCCCAACAACACTAACACGCACCCGAAATTCCGAAAACCCCAAAGCCTGCATCCTTAAGCCCTCAACCCGATCCCAATAATAACCTAAAGCTGGCCCGAAAGAGATCTCGGCCTTGGTGCAGGCTTCCCTCCACCCAGCGAAACTTGTCGAACTGGGAAATCGCCTGCTTCGATGCTTCCGTCTTCAGCATCATGTGGGACGTGGTGATGGGGCGCAGGCTCGGTTTAGCGTGTAGGGTCAGGGATCGCGCCTGAGGTCTAAGACCCGTAACTCGAGTAGCAACTTGCAGAGGTCGGGCTGTGAGCGGCTTGTATGCCATGCATGTGACGACACTCGCAATTCGTAATGTTGCTGTGCATACAAACTGCACAATATGCGCTTTTGGCGAGAGCCGTGTGACCGGGCTTTACTTTACAGCCTGTGCTCCAGCGTTCAGGATGTCGTATATCAAAGTGCAGGGATACGGAGTACGGTCAATGGCGTGAGCTTTCGGGCAGGGTGTGTATACATGTAAGTGTAAACGAATGTTTAGACATACATGTGTGTATATATATATATATATATATATATATATATACACAGTGCTCGTGTACATCCAGGCACACATACATACACACATGCATACCGACTTACTTACATGAATACACACATGCATGCATGCCTCATATATACATTGTATAATATAACATGTGCATAGACAAACATGACTATAACCAAGTATGACAATACTTAGGTATACAAGCATAACTATACGTCGATAAAAAAGCGTCTGCTACGTATGTATGCATGTAAATGCATATATATCCATATATATATATATATATATACATATGTGTGTGTATGTATGTATGTATGTATGTATGTATGCATGTATGCATGCATGCATACGTTTATTCATGCTGTTACGCATGTGTACTTGAATCGAACACAAGCTTGCGCACTGTATGCTACCTGCAAGTATGTGCCTACACACGTGTTCTGCTACACATGTGTGTCTATATGAACGTATGTAAGTATATACGTCTATATATACACATACATGTACACGTTCATTCGTTGGCTAACTAGCTCAACAGCTACTACTTCTTTACGTATGCCAGTTGCCTGTCTATGTTGATGTATGTAAAAAACGAGCAAACGAATGGAAGGATGAGTGATCGCGTGCGACTGGCTCATGCCCCGAGCCGAACAGCTCAGGATGCGACGCGCACCGCGCTCTCAAGCTGTCCTGGGTCTGCACCAGTCACTGCAAGCTTCAGGTTCTGGGTTCCAGAGCGCGAACACTGTAGTAGTGCCACGAACATTACAACCGATATACATGTTGAAATACATCGCTGCATATATAACTAGCTCTCTCTCTCGATATATATATATATATATATATATAGAAGTATATATATATACATATGTAGTTATATATATACACATATATATATATATATATATATATACATATAAGCACATATTATATATTTATACATACATATATACGTACATATTTTTGTTTATGTAGACAAATACTGTAAGCATAAAGATTTCCGTGTGTGTGTGTGTGGGGGGGGGTATCTGAGCAAGAGAAAGAGCGAGAGTGCGAAAGAGAGAAAGAGAGTTAATTAAGTTATTTGTGTCAAAGGAGCTGGATTTGACGACTGCTGAAACTCGCATTAACCCCTGGATGCCCCAAAGGAAACCTGGAGCTTTGCGGGATCCTGCAGTTTCTTGGAGTGTTGTCTTTTGTGTGGTGCTCCTACAACAGGCTGAATAGAAAAACAAATCGAAAGGAGCATCGAAGTGTCATCTGTTAGCCCCGAAACTCAGAACCTTCATAAACCCCGAACCTCAAACCATCAAATGAGCGGGGGCCGTGGTCCTGAGACTAAGTAGCGTGTGTATGGAGTCCTCGCTTAGTCATGGACCCAAGGGGTGCTTGGGGGTCTTCGACTTGACAAGGGCATGCGTGCTTCATCCGAGCGCCAAGCCTTCCGTCCAACTGGATGGAAGGATCAAGCTCCTTCAACGGCTTGATGGAACGGACCAGGATGTACAATTACAAACTTTACAGCGGCTTTGGAAAAAACAACTTTGTTTTCAGGGTTCTGCGTTTAGGGTGCCTGGCTCTCCGCCTCTGAGCATGATTAGCCAGCCGCAAAGCCGGCTAAGAATGCGAACGCGTCAGCGGATGCCGGCTTCGACCTAGGTGTTGAGGCTGGAGTCTTGACACGCATGACACGAGTACCCATTCCGTTACCGTCACTGCGTTTCGCAACGTAGGTCTCTTTAACCTTTAAGAGTCTTTAGAACTTCTGAATTGAGTGAGGCGAGTTGCTTCAATCTCGTGGACCGGCGGTCTAACACTTCTGCCACACGACCTGATTCCTGACTCCGGTAAACCCGACATCATACTGAGTGTAAATTTAGGCATTAGTCAAGGTTACCAATATATGTCATATTGGACCTCGGAAAAGCACTAAGCGACCGCACGATGTACAGCTTGAATAATAACGTCTTAGGCCCTGAACTCTCAGACCTATCTCATTCCGCCTTCCGCCTCAAGCCCAAATAAACCTCAAGTTCTACGTCTTGCCCATCAAACCACCCTCGACGGCTCTGCCTCGTAGCCAGGGTTTCGGGTTTAGGGGTTCGAGGCCGCAAATCAACAGCCGGCTCCTTTCGTCTCGGACGCCTCGCGGTCAAGACAGGCGGTAGGTGTCAGGGTCTCTCTTCTTTGCGGGGCCCCAGGTGAAGCCCGTGCCGAAGGGATTTTGTGTCTGGGGTCCTAGGGTTGAGGGCATGGAGTTTGAGCTTGGCGCAAGATCGAAACACTTCCCCTTGCATACAATCTTAAACCATGCTTTGCTTGCACGTTCTGTGACCAAGGATAGAGGCGGTGCAGGATTAACGATTCAACTGGGACCTGGGGCCTGCGTACCGAACTGACCGGTGCTACATGCCAGGAAACCTGTTATGCAGTGCTACAGCCTCTCCCGTCTGATTTGGCAGTGGCTTCTGGTGTTCATAATTAGAAGGGTTCGGGCCGGGCTACAATCCTGAAGCCCCGAAGCCCCGAGCTGAATTCCAGGGATCCGTTAGGGAGTGTGCACCATGGAAGCTTGATTGCGGCTTATGTAAAGTTGCTGGCCCTTTCTGCCACCCTCCACCTTATCATCGGTCATACATAGTAGGTGTCATGAAAGTTTGCTTCGGGAGCCTAATGCCGTACCCACCCACCCCCCATTGCAGGGCCACAAAAAGATTTTGGGCTGAGTAACTTGAAATCGGAAATCGCAACCCTAGACTCTAGACTGGATCGGCTGCTGGGAAGGCGCACACTCTGCTCTCGGTTCTTCTTGCCACGACGCCTTGGCGAAAGAGGCGGTTTAGGCTTTTGAATTAAAACGGCTGCAATCAAAAATTGAACAGAATCCCAAGTTCAGCAATCTAAGTCCGAATCTGAACTGAATACCCGAACTGCAAGACCTTGACCAAACCATCCGAGACGCAGGAAAACTTGGCCATGAACGAAGTCAATACAAATCACATAATTACAAGGAAGGTTGTCGTTGAAATAACTCTTGGAATGCTGAACCTTGATTAAGCCTATTAAGCCCTCCCTTGACCTAGCACGGAAGCCACAAACACGCTTTGAAGCGAATCAGGGACTCAGACTACAGAGTCTTCAACAAGTTGAAGCAAGTGTACTGTCCTGTCCTACTGTAGAGGATGCTCTCGAAAGCCTTTGGAGGGATCCATATGTGTCTTCCCTTACAAATACGTCATATGTATCTCTTTTTCAAAAATCCCAGTTTGCCAGCCAGTTCTAGAGATATGAGCGTTCACGAGTAAGATTGGGTCCGTTAGACTAATTATGAGGTGAGTAGGATCCTCTCGTTCCGCGTCGTTCTATCCTAGCTATTTGCTCCATACCGGATAGTCCAAGTTCCAGGATTCGGAGGATCCGAGTGGGCAGCTAAAACTTCTAAGGCTCTGCCATGACAATTTTGCTCCAAAGTGTACCTTGTCGGCTTTGCCAGGTCTTCGTGTGGTTCGCAGGCATGTCACTCGATGGAGCCCATCGTGTGGCCAGCCACAACGACGACCGGGAGACGCAGCACTATTCTGAAGGGATGCACCGAGCCATCCTGTACACTGGCGGTCCCTGACATCTGCTACAAAAGCCCTTCCTTCGGTTTGCTCGCAGCGAAATAGTTTTCTTCCGCAGCTTTTCCCACAATTGGAATTCCTACTTCAACCACAGCCACAACCACGACGACAGCAACAACAAGGTTAACAAACTCACCGTCATCATCAGCAACAGCAACGGCAAAGATAACAGGATCAATGAGCACAGCCACCTCATCAAGCCCCGCCCGGACCCTGATTCAACGACCTTTGTTTGGCTCCCGTTGCCTCCACGTCTCGCGCACGGAGCTCGCTTTTCAAGACCTGGGCAGGGAGGCCGACAAAGACCGCCAGAGGGTGTGGGGCAGTGTAGAGTATAGAGTTACGGGTATAGGGTATGATATAAGTAGGAGCTGCCTGACTACACGTTGTAGCGTATCAAGTATGAACAGGGTTTTGCAGGTACTGAGTTGGAAAAGCCTCACAGGCATGGGGTCCGAAGGCAGACTTTGCAAACCCTAACGTCAACTTCGATTCGAAAACAAGACAAGAAGATGCTGAACCTTGAGGCTGAACCAGCTGCGCGCGATCCCTAGAGATGTCCGGAAAAAGCAAAACAAAGAGTCCCGACTCCCGGGCACCGAAGCTAAATCTAGACTCCAATCTCGTGAAGTCGTCCTCAACACTGGGCTTGAAACCTAAGCCCCTACATCCCGACCTCCTACACTCGAGGGCCTCGACCCGTCCACTTTGGAGCCCCGACGAAACCCCGAAACGCCTAGATCCCCAAACCTCAAACCTCCCAATTCCATGAAGGATGGTTCTATGCTTCTGGCCTGCTTGGCAGCGGCGATGCGGTCTTTCGCAAGATCGGATAACACCTACAAGAGTGTCGTGGTTGGATTCGCGGAGGTTGGCGGCAAAATCGGCCGGCTTTTATTGGGTTCGACGATTTCGGCTTTCAGGATAACGGTTCAGGTCTTGTCAATCGAGACGAAGTCCTAGTAAAATCAGTTTCTACGGATCCCAAACTTGAAACTTGGAGGCGGCTTTCGCCACGATTTGTACTCAAGGCCTCAAGAAGTGGGATAAAGGTAGCACAGATCAAGAAGCCCTTCGCAAGGCTTGGGGGTGTTTGGGGTTTCCTGCCACCTCCATCCTGCCCTTCCCACCCGCTGGTATACATGGTTTGGACACTCCGGCTTGGTGCGCTTCGGCCTAGCCCCTGCACCGCCTGATCCGCCCTGACCCTGCGCGGCTAGACGTGGTTGAGCTAAGGGAACTCGCACACCCTGAGTACGCTGCCTGGGCCGGGGCCAGGCTTGCACGAGGTCGGCAAACGAAACGATGAAGCAGCGCACCCTCCTGAGGCTCGGAGAGCTGAAACATAAGAGGATGAGGACGGTGATGAGACTCACGCGCAGGAGCACGCTGAGACGGGGGGCGACAAAAAATATATTGCCGAGGTGATGACTGTGATGACCTAGCCCTCCCCCTCCACCGCCTGCCACTGCTACTAATGGTACCACTACCACTACCACTACCACTATCACTACCACTACCACTACCACGACCACGACCACGACCACCACGACCACGACCACGACCACGACCACGACGACTACTGCTACTGCTACTGCTACTGCTACTGCTACTGCTACTGCTACTGCTACTGCTACTACTGCTACTACTACTACTACTACTACTACTACTACTCCTGCTGCTGCTACTACTACTACTACTACTATCACTACTACTACTACTACGGTTGATGGAGGAAATCTCGCACCATCTGCCTAATAACAGGTGACACGACACTTGAGCATAACCCCACACCCCCATTTTAACATTGAAGATGATGGATACCGAGGTGGTGCAAGCTTTTTGTCAGTCCAACCCACGGCATCCCACGGCACTTCCGAGGATCACCTGTCAATGTTAAAAAGAGGGCGTGGGGTGTCTGCTTGGCTTGGGCACTTAAACTGGTGCAAGATTTCCTCCATCAACAGTACCTTACACTGTCGTCACAGTAAGCAAGATGCATTAAACAAGTTCTGAGCGACCAGTCCGATGCCGATGGCTGTCTGCAAGATACAAAGCAAGTTTTGAGCGAGCAGTCCGACGCCGAAGTCGACTCTACCAGGCGGCGGTAGTAGCTTTTTTCTTGCTGATAGTCTCTATGAAATGCTTACCGGTCGCAGCATCAAGGAAAGCAACTTGCATGACAGAAATCCTGAACGACCAGTTGGATGCGGAGAAACAGGAACTTGCAGAGAGACGTCTGCGCGTAGTCTGCTTTTGTCAGGTCCCAATGCTTGTCATGTCATTGGCCGCGAATTTGGTATGAGCACGGGCGTGGATCACGACCCTTGCACAGGCCGTGCGTAGGAGTGGAGGAGCTGCGCGAAGCAGCGAAGACACTCAGGGATGTTCCCCTGCAAACTCACGGGGCCCGGAACCAGAAAGGTAAAGATTTTCAGGCGCCGAAGCAACATGGTCCACTCATTGGGCTTACCAAGCTGCATGGCCTCCTGAGCTCTGGAAATTATCGGGCCTGGGTCTTTTTCTTTGCACGTAACAAAGATTGGTGCAGAACCTTGGTAGAGCAAGTGGCCGTGGAAGTCCTTGTTCTGAGGCCGTGTGAGTGGGAACGGCTTTCCCTCGTGCCAAAGCAGCTGCGTTGGCAATGGCAGGACGGTAGTATCAAACTTCCATTCGTCCAGCAGCACAGCTTTGCACCGCTCCAAACCGAGAAGAGGGAACGAACCTGGCTGAGGCGTCGCCTGGATATTCTCGACGCCCAGCAACGTGCGAAGAGGTTGCAGCAGGAAGGACTTGCCTTCGCCGCCGAAGCGACCCATGACGACAACCACCGGCACCTCTTCACGCCTGCCTCAAGCTCCGAAGAAGGCACGAGCAGAGGTCCACCGCATCCAGACCATTCCGCGTCAGTAGCTGCAACGCGGCTTGCAGCCAGGCTCCTTTACAGGAGCACGGGCCAGCCAGGGCACGCTGCAGATGCTCACTGCGGGTGCAGGCATGAACCGCCAAGTGGTTTCCCAGGACCAGACGTCGTCAATAATAGCAGGCAGTTTCTGCCGGTTTTTGAACGCGAAGTTCACGAGGGATGCAGAACCGCATACTGCTTCAGCCACTGCATCAACTGCTCCGCCGCAGTATCGTCATCCGGCGTGTTCCGGAAGCCAGCCCGCACTATGATTGGATGAAAGTCCAGCTCTGTGGGGCGAGGCTCTGGTTTGTCCTTAGCAGATGCCTTCTTCACCCTGCAATCTCGCCTGCGACTCACGGCCGCTGCTGTGGTAGGCTCCTGGTACACCTCAAAAAGATCTCGCTGAGGACCTTCCTGTGCCCAGGTATAAGGAAAGGGGTCCAGGTCATCTTGCGGCATGCCAGGACTTGGCATGCAGCCATACCGCACGGCCGACCAATGCCCGGTATGAGTACAGCTCCAATGGCTGGCCAGCCCATGGTTGATGAAGAGCGCACGCTCGCAGGCCGCGAAGCGAAAGTTCCTGTCTGCTTTCAGAGCAATGTGCCAGTGGAAAGGTCCGACGTCTTGGCCGTCCGTTGGGCTGTGCCGCTCACGAAAGATCACAAAGGCCAGCCGCTGGACCGTGGTCCCCCAGGTAGCATTGTTGTGAGAGTGAGCCTGCCTCTGAAAACAGTCAAGAACCACGCGAGCCACTGTCTCATGATCCCACGAGCTCGGACAGCAGTGGCCAGGCTTGAGATCATTTTCTTCCAGGCGTGTCAGAGCAGGGAGAGTGACGGGCTAGACCTGCCTACTGGCTGCGGAACGCTCAGCCTCCAAGTGCTCTTCGCTCAGGAAGCCTGCCTGCCTTGAGAACCGCTGGGGGTCCCGAAGGCAGATGCGCTTGTGCCAGGCCTCCACATCGACACCCTCAAAGCCGAGCCAAGACTTGCTGCGAAGCCTGCGCGCAGGAGGACTAAGTATGAGGGGCATGGCGTCGGAGCCTCCGGAAAAAACAACCTAAACTGTGCCGGCTGTTTGCTTGAGGATATCAAAAAGTGATGACAAGTATACAAGCTCTACTTGCACACATGCAGCCACAATACTGTATCGATCCCTCACCATCTCCCCATGTGTGTCGGTGTGTCACTGTGTGTCAGGGACCGAGGTACTTGTAAGACAGATTTGAGGAAAGGAAGGTTTTTCCTTGCATTTCGGCAGAGTAATAAGGGTTAACTGCATAGTGTGCGTTTTCTACAGTAACTCTCAGTTAACACTCAGTTAACGCTACAGTTAACACTACAGTTAACACTGCCGAAATGCCGCAAAAACCAGCATTTTGCAATTTTGCAGAATACACGCATTTAAAAAAGACAAACTGCTAGTTTTTGTGTCCTTTATACACATTTGAAGAAAATGCTGTTTTCCCAGCATTTCGGCAGTGTTATTGTAGTGTTAACTGCGTGTTAACTGAGCGTTAAGTGTAGGGAAATGTAAAGAATTTACACTGTCCCACCGGAGTGCCGCGGAGTGACATGGAGCAGACTTGGATCGAAGTGGAGTACCCGGGGCAGCGGAAGGAAGCACGGCGGTAGGCGTTCCCTTTGTGCTCTGCGGCTTTATGCAGCGGATGAAGTTGCTCTGCTTCGGCGGACAAAGCTCCACCTTCTTCGAAAAAGTGGCAATTGGCTTCAAAAAGCCTCTGGCAACGACGTTTCATGTCACCGATGGCACTCGTGACTCGTGATGAGCGACTCTGGCAGCTTGCCAGCTGTACGGCGCAAGCGTGCGAGGTACTGAGACCGGGTTTCCCGCTTCGCGGCCGACCACTTGGCCTCTTGAGGCCGTAGGCGCCGGTTGATCTCCGACCAGACACAGAAATCCATAGGGTTGAGGTCCGGCGATCTTTTGGGCTCAGACTTCGCGATCTTGCCCTTGTTGGACTGGAAGCTGGTAGGGCCGTTGTCCTCCAGCACGGCATGCTGACGCTTGCGGGGCCAAGCGCGTTCCAAGGTGGCTTTCAGGGTCCAGCATACATGTTCGCGGCAGCCTGGCCGCATGGAACGACATGCCACAGCAGCACTCTACCCTTGCCGATAGCGCCCGTGACCAAGGAACTCTTCGAGCCTGTGCTTGACGCCAAACGTTTCTTTGGCTTGACGTAGCCACCGTTCAACCCGCGTCCGGGCGCACGGTAGGCACCGAAAGTTCGCTGTTGGGCCGCCATCTTCCGTGCAGCCGACGTCAGGTAGGTCTTGAAGTGCTTGCCATCGAGAAATGCTTGGGTCTGCTGATTTAGCAGAGTCTGATTGAACTGGGCTACAGAGGGACAAAGAACAATGCTCAGTAGACAGCCAGGGAGCATGGACATTGTTATTCCACCATGATGCAGATTTGTCCGTGTACCGCTTGGCGAAGGCGAATCGAGCTCGGATGTCTTCTGGAGTCAGCAATGGTTTTTCACATAGTTTCCGAAAGTACACCCCGCGACGATGCAGAACTTACAGGGTGATGCGCTCACTGGCCTTGGTTTTCGTGGCTTTGGTCAACATCTGAACGGTCACATGGTGCTTCGCGACGGCGGAGACGATCATCTGGTGCAGGCGACGTAGAAGCAGGTCGACTTGAGGTTCAGATAGGAGCTGGCGACGGCCGTGTTGACAAGGAGGTTGGGGATGACGGACTTGTCCCGACCAAGGCGTTGAGCGATTTGAGAAGGTGCCAGCGATTCCTGATCGTACCATGTCCGGGCAAGCCGTATATCTCTTCGGACGAGATTTTCTTCCAAGTTCGAACCATGGCTTCCGAGAAAAGGCGACGAGTGCACTACGCTGGGCGACTACGTGAGGTCAGCTGGGGCTTACCCATTTGACCGGCGAAGTCCAAAAAGCAGGAAATAGTCAATAGTAAAAATTTTGACTTCGGTTCATGGAAACTTTCCCTTCGAAGTTAAAACCGGGCGTAGTCAATGAGTCAAAATGCGTGGCGCCAAATTAACTTTGCGAAGTCAAAAATTTTAATATGAAGTAAAATCGGGGCAAAAATGGTAGAGGAAATTTGGTGGAAGTTTCCTCTAAACTGGTTCTGAAACTGCTTCCAAACTGCTTCACCTTGAGTGGCAGTTTCAAGGGGCCGAAAACAAAACTTCCACTAAACTGCTCTTCATGTTTTTGCATTGTTTCCGGCAACGAAAATGGGTAATGTTCGACTTGGTGGAAGCCTAGACTCCTAGACCGACAGCCCTGAACTTCTCGACCCCGAGTCCCGTCTCAAACTAAACTGCCAACTTACACCCTAAACCACAAACCCTGAAGCCCGAACCAACACACACACGCACACACACACACACACACACACACACACACACTCACTCATCGCCCACCCACAACGACATCGACGCACAACACACCACAACCGCACCCACACACACACACACACACAACTCTGACACAATCTTGGCATAAGGCACATGTAGATACATGTAGCTTAGCATGTTTTCATTTGTCAGCTACAACGCACATAACACAAAACACACGACACACAACACACAGACAGAAACACACAGAGAAACATTTACACACAACAACCTATATACTTATGTGCACAAACACACACAACAATACACTTTCAAAGAGCAAAATCTCTGTGGCAGTTTCGGCCGGCCACAGAAGCAGCTTAGAAGCAGTTCCAGTAGCAGTTTCCTCTTGCCGATTTAACTTCGAAGCGAAAACTTTTACTATGAAGTAAACTCTGTTTTTACTTTGCGGCGGCGGTGTCTTAACTTTGAAATAAACGCAACAAAAATAACTATTCACAACATAGTCAAATCGCGTTCTGACTTTTTCATGGAAATATCCTTGTTTCTATCAAATAGGGATTCCTTGTTTTTTCTGACTTCGCTGGTCTATTGGGTAGAAGCAGGGCAGCAACATGGGAAGACGACGCTTAGCAATATTTAGCAATGTCTCACGCACTGGCAGGTCAACACGTAAACTGCAGGCAATGTCGCGGGCACGTCAGGGTGGTAAAAAAAAGTCGCATCCTGGAAGCCTGCAACCACAGTCGGCTTGTGTGGTCTTGGGCCGTACCTATATAAAGCAACCAGCCGTGCCAACATGCTTGCCGTCTCGCATTCTTGGACATGCATCGGGCTTGGTCTGCATGTGGATGGTACCCGTCACACGAAGCATTGTACAGTCCAGTAAAGGCACAGGCTACTTTGGTCATCTCAGCACTTGGCCACTGAAACTGGTGCAAAATTTCCTCCATCAACACTACTACTACTACTACTACTACTACTACTACTACTACTACTACTACTACTACTACTACTGCTACTGCTACTGCTACTGCTACTGCTACTGCTACCGCTACCGCTACCGCTACCGCTACCGCTACCGCTTGCTCTGCTACTGCTACTGCTACTGCTACTGCTACTGCTACTGCTACTGCTACTGCTACTGCTACTGCTACTGCTACTGCTACTGCTACTGCTACTGCCACTGCCACTGCCACTGCCACTGCCACTGCCACTGCTACTGCTACTGCTACTGCTACTGCTACTGCTGCTCCTGCTACTGCTTCTGCTGGCCGTTGTGGCGGTGGTGGTTTATGGTGGTAGACAGTGCTTGCGGTACGTCAGTCTCGCAAAGGTAGCTTTGCGGCAATGTCACCACCACCGCTGCCCTCACCAGTTCTGCTACTACCATCACTATGATGACTTGTCCTGCAACTGTGACTTGATAAACTCTTCTACTTTGGGCTACCGTGCGCGTTCCTCTGGAACATTCCGGGAGCAAGCAGTTTTGAGTTATGTGTAGAATTGTAGAACGTTCTCATACCATCCAGGAACTACGTGGTCGACACGCCACATCCTCAAACCCTGAGGTAAACTAGCAGCCTGCTAGCAGCATGCCATGTGCAAGGATGTCTGAGCTGCAGGCAGTCGGGAAGGCCTTGCCACCTGGAAGGAGACAGACTTTCAGCATCAGGGCGGGACGAGTCCGGATGTATCGATAACGATATAGGTATATATATATATATATATATATATATATAGATTCAGGTGTGGATGTAGCTACAGGCAACTACTGTAGGCATACATATGTTACCATACGGGTACAGAGTCCAGGCGGATCTCATGCTGATTTCCTTCTGGCTCTGTCTGTACCTTCGGAGCGAAACATCATTAGTGCTGCTGAGTGTTTGTATATACGGTGCAGACTTGCAAAGACCTCCCTCCCCACATGGTATGGTACGACCGCCTTCTCATGCAGGCGGGTAAGGGTCGTCTGGGTTGCGGCTAATGAAACGGCCTTCATGACCCACCCCTGATGCCTGTGTCAATGCGGGCGGGTTTGTTCTGCATTCAGATTGCCCCCTTTCCTGCCCATGTGGGTGTTTTAACAATCGGTTGCATCTAGACACCAGGCACCCAGGCCTGTAACTGTTGGGAATGTATTGGATCCATACTTAAACCAATAAACAAAAACAGGTACATACATATATGATGTGTTTATGCAAATGTATATGTGCGCGCATGCATGCAGGTAGACATGTTTGTCGGCCGTCTGGGTGGGCACAGCGGCGTGTTCTATCTGTCTGTCTGCCTGTCTGTATAATATGGTGTCCTACATGGATGTATTGTTCATAAGCGTGCGTATCTGCATCTGCAGCATAAATCTGACTCTCGCTCTCCCTCTCTCTCTTTCTTTCTGCATGGCGTAGGGGTCGCGTACGACCGTAGGCCTTCGGCCCGCCCAGCTCACCCCCTGTGCTATGGAGTGGCCGGCTTTGGGGTCTTTCCTGATTATGCCCCGCGTTTTCGTGCAGCAACCCCATCTGGAACACTAAACCCCCGCATCCCGGCCTCATCGCCGGGCCCCTATGGCTACCATCTGCTTCCGGCCTACGTACCTTCTAGATGGGGCCTGTTGGCGAGGGCATCTACCGAGCACTATGCGAGGATCAGGGAAAACAAGCTTGATGCCCCCCTACCTAGTAGTCAACAGAGTAAGGCTGCAACATGAAGTGTGGTTTCCCCCTCCCTGCTTCTTGCTCCCCTTCCTCTCTCCCCGCCTCTCTCTCTCTCTCTCTCTCTCTCTCTCTCTTCGCTTCGCTTCGCTTCACAGGGGTCAGGCTTCTCTCTCTCTCTCTCTCTCTCTCTCTCTCTCTCTCTCTCTCTCTCTCTCTCTCTCTCTCTCTCACAGAGTATATATATATATATACATATACAAGCATCAATCCATGCAAACATACAGTTGTATGTATGTATATATATATATACACACACACACCACATCCGTGGACCTTCCAGGAATCACATGCAAATACATGTTCTCTCAACATAACAAGCTCAAAGACGAACTACCAGTGAGCACCTTTGAACAAGGACTGGAAGATAAAGCGTTTGGTTTGGTCTGGCTCGATGTAGGGGCATGCAAGGGTTCGGGACTGAGAGTCAGCATTGGGCTGAGGCATCCTTGAATGAGTGACCCCGCTGTCGCACAAGTGACACTGAGCTGAGATATTAAGTCCTGATACGAAATATCGACACACAGGCCCGACGCACTCTGACTCCTCAACAACTTCCTACCTTCAGGGTAAAGCATTGCATAATTCGAGGTAGCAACCTATTTATTTTGTCTATTTTGCTCCTTGGGTGGTGCATCGAAAAGCAACTCTCAAACTGTGCTTCAACCAGAATGGACTCACGTCAGCCTGCGCCGCCCGCCGCATCTTTGTTGCCGGGCCTTTCGGTGGGAAGGAAGACAGCCGGGCTCGGAAACTCGCTGAACTCTACTCGCACATACCATGGCCTAAGATTCTTTAAGGTCCGACAGCTTATGCTTTAATAGGGTCGGGAGAAACTACGTTTAAACGTCAGGGCTTCTTGCGGCTTTGCAGATAGGCTTCGGTGTTACGCAGTGCATCGGATTGCTGGAGTTTGCGGCTCAGGGTGGGTGGAGGCTTCAGTGGGTGCGGGCAGCGGTTCCTGCGCTGCTGAAACGAAAGGTTTCAATTCTTCACCTGCCAACAAAACTACCGAGGTTGAGGATCTGACTCAGGCCTCTTACACTCTTACGCTCTTAGTTTAGCAGGTCTGGCACATTAAGCCTCGGACTCGCGCAGTGGAGCATAATGAAATCCTTGAGTGTCTTTTGAGGTTTGCGCAGATTTCAGGGGAGGTTCACGGTTCAGTGCAAACTCGGTCCCGCGGCGTCTGGCACAGTTCGGGAGCCGATTTGCGATCGAGGCCCCGGTGTGTGTCTGTGCTCCCATCGAAAGATACGAGATATAATATAGGTCTTCATTGTGTCTTGGAAAGAAGCATATTGCATGCATGACAGAGCGACAGACTCAATGTGCTGGGATGCGTCAAGAGTCTGTGGCTCCGAGGCGGCATCCAGGCTTCGACTCCTCTCTGAAGTTATGCAGATACGCTTGAAGACTTAGGTGTTCAGGGCCTTGGGCGTTTCGGGGTTTTATCAGTCCGGGTTCTGGATTTAAGGTTTCGGGCCTCTGCCGAGTATCCGCCCCTGCGATTTTGCAGCCGAGAGAGAGGTCGAGGAACTAAATGGAGTTCAGGATCGGGAGTACATTACCAGAAGCCGAGCCTTATCCAAGTGCAGTCACTATTCCGGTCGACATCGCGATCAACGAGCACCATCCTCAGTTTGCTCTAAGACGAAAAGAATAAACAAGACATTTTCCGTGCCCAACATCAAACGAATCGAAGCCTCAGCCAGGGGGAAATCCAAAGTTACAGAACCCAGCAGTCTTAATTCACTATAGCCAGTCCTGTCTAGTTTCGAGGTTTCAAGCATAGAAGCAGCTGAGAAGCAGGATCCTCCACTCGAGTGAAATCTGCGTAGTCTTTGCAACCTGGGGCCCTTTTCCCCCAGAGGCGCCAGTCCTGCGAGAGCCAGCCCGGCGTGCGCAGCCAGCAAGGGAACACGCCAGGAGCCGGCCCAACCACGAAGTCGAGGGCCTACGCAGTGCCGACACCGCTGGTTCTGAATCTCAATACCCCGGAAATGATTCAAGAAGGAACCCTTCGGACAGCATCTGTCGTGCACTTGTTTGAACTCCAAGCCCCCACGCCCTGATTCCAAAATCATCGAGCCACGAAGTGCAACCCGCACCGGGAACCTCGATCCCGCAACAGCTGTAAACCCAAAACCTCAAGCTCCGCCGCACCGTCAGCAGCGGTTCCGCCCTGGCCAGCACACAGGGCCACCTTTCCGGCAAAGGGAACGATCCCGGCTTAAATTGGCGTTTATGCAACCAAGTTTGAGTACAGTTCAGGGCGGAGGGCGAGAGGATTTGTCAGCATCAGAAGGCTTCCAGATTGGCCCAGTCATGTCGCAATTTCTATTCATGACAAACCGACGATGCCGTTAATCTGGCAGCTGTGTCTCTGCTTTTTTGTGGTTGCTGTGTCTGTATTTATGCTGTTGAGGGATCTGTCTTTGTTTTTCCTTCGGGGGGTTGTCCGTGTCCTGTCTTGTCGATTGTTGTCGTCCCGAGAATGGAACCCTAAAGGGAGGATTGCAGAGCAAACCCCGCACGCCCAAAATGCAGACCCAGAAAGTCAAGAGCCTCACGAGGAAAAAGACACAGCAAACTCAAAACAAAACAGACGCAAGGGAACCCGCAAGCTCCCATTCATCTCCTAGCGCCGCCCAAGGCAATTCGCATAGCCACCGCAGGGATATGTCTTGGGGCAGAACCCTCTCAAACCATGATCTGAACACGTTGGTCCATGCCCAACCAAAAACCTTTTATCAACATACCTGTTACATGCCCCAGACTCTCATCTAAAGAATAAACCCCATGTCCGGTCGACAAGCCCTAGTGGCACTTGTATGTTCCTGAACGGACGAGGGCACAATCATCAGGGACCTAATGCGAGGCGCCTCAATCACGCCGTCTGCCGCGAGAAGCCCCGCGGCATCGGCCTCAGTGTCCCAACATGTCTTCGTGTATTCCTGCAGTTTCGTGATATCTGCACTACACGAGGACGTTGTATCACATTCAAACTCTTGTTCGGCCGATGCTTTTGGAGTGTCTGGTTGCCTTATGAAGAAGACCTCGTAGCGCCACTGCAAGTCACAAATGTAGAAAGAACCACTGAGGAATGACGGCGCCGCATCTCGTAGAGATGCACGGTGAACTTCCGACCCTGAAAACATGCGGGCCGCTGCGCATAGACCATCGCCCGGCACATTGCGTCCAAGCATACACATTCACGACTTAGCGCTCGCAGCTTGTATCTGAGAGTAAGGCCGTTACGAAACCCGTGTTCTGCTTCAGTAGGCCAATAACACAAAAACTTGGATTCCTCAGCTTGAGGTCTGGAAGCCGTACTTGGAACTGAGACGAGGGTTCGAGGGGCAGGACCAGCTACGATCCTTCTCATGATGATGATAACCACGGCAACGTTGTGACCGTGATGATGGGGCTGCTGCTAATGGGTGGGACAAGTATGAGGAGCATGATACCGATGGTGCTCCTGATGCTGCTGATGATGTCTGTGACAATGGCTGTCTTCTTAAAGAAAGGTGGTCGACACCACGACGCCCAACAAACTCAACAAAAGGCTATTGAATTCTGAAGTCTCGAACGAAGCTCTACTGAGAGTTTCAGGGGCCCCGCACACGAAGGGTCGCTGAACCGCGCAACCGCCATCCCCAAACAAAGCAATTCATGGAGCCCGGAATCCCATAACATGGGCCGGGGCTTTAATAACTAGAATAAAGTCTTGGGTCCATATGCTATAATTACTTATCATAAGGAACCCTCAAAATAGTATTGATAATTAGAAAGGCCCCTATTTTACAACGTCCCAAAGACGGTGTGCCCAAGCTAAGAACCCCGAATTCTCCCTAAGTCCCGAAACCCTCCTCCTCTGCCGAGGTGCCAGGAATGCGCCAAGCAGTCGTCGAAGCCCCTTGATGCCACCGGTCGCCTGGAGTCACTAGACTCTGGGTTTAGGATTACGGGACACAGGGGGGTTTGGGGGTACGGACTTGAGGGGTTGAGGGCCATGGTTTGACCGGTCAACTCAGCACAATGCAGCGGGGTAATGATTTCGTGCTGACTTAATTCCCTTAATTAATAAGCTCTTTCCAGGACTGTTTAAATAATATAAATAATTTACATACTTAAAATAACATAAAAACATGAAATACCACTGATTTAAAATATTTAAAGTGTTTGAACTATTTGGGAAGCCAATGGTTTGAATAATTTAAACGATGTAAACTATCTAAACTTATTGGATTTTTTGGGCAAAGGAAAAAATCTATGTAATTTAAAAGATGTCATTTATTAAAAATATGTAAGTTGTTGAACATATTTAAATCATCTAAATAAGGGTAGAAGCCCTTCAAATCAAAGGAATTTAAATCATTTACAGGATTTTTTGCACAAAGGAAATACTTTAAATAATTCAAATACTGACTTGATTCCCTTAATAAGACCTTTCCAGGACTATTTAAAAAAAAAAGTATTTTAGCTAATTTAAACCTGTTTTAATATTTTTGACTACTACTACTACTACGACGACGACTACTGCTACTGCTACTGCTACTGCTACTGCTACTGCTACTGCTACTGCTACTGCTACTGCTACTGCTACTCTGCTACTGCTGCTGCTGCTGCTGCTGCTGCTGCTGCTACTGGTACTGGTACTGGTACTGCTACTGCTGCTGCTGCTGCTGCTGCTGCTGCTACAGACTCCCACAGTATGGGTTTGGGGCGGCCTACAGTCGACTATGCCATGCAGCGACTGATCGGAAGGCCTATCCATAGTCTTGTCCTGAATGACTAGATATAGCTGAAAGAGGATTTCAGTTTCCCTATTAGGCCCTATCACGACCTGACCCATTGGCAAGCGGAACTGTAATTTGTAGTAAGAAACGAACATACCCCGCCTTGACATTCAATAGGGTCATGCAAACAATCAGAAAACGCAAGGGAAAGTTCACAGTAAAGAGGGGCATGTGACACTGACCCCCCATCGTCAAAACCTTACCCCGCCTGATACGGAAAGTTGAAGATGATGCGATCGAAGGAAAGCTCCGTCTTCCCTGATGGTTGTTGCGGACGCCAACAAATCCCGGGGCATATAGCGGGTTTGAGATTTGCGGATTGTTTGGAGCGACGCTGCGACGCAAGTTCCACAAACACGGAAAACACTACCCCCAATCTCGAAACGGCTCCTATGACGACACCCAAGCCTCGTTCTGACATATGCCCACGCATCCTAAGCAAGCGCTTCCTGTCCAGGTGCCTGGGTCAGTCTGGGTCTGTGATACTGTTGGAGCTCGTAAACCCAGAATATTGCACGCATTCTGAGAAGAATGCCGCGACTTCCTTGCAACGAGTTGTTTGTAGGTGCTGGCCTGGGTCAATCATAATTGTCTCGACGGTTCTTGCGCATTGTCTGCATGGGTCAGTCAGAAACTACGGAAGGGCTGTACATCCCATACATGGCAACAGAGATTGGGCCCTGCCCAAGTCGAAGCACCAAACCAATGTATGACATGCTTCGCAGACTATCAGGAGGGGTCTCTCTGGGCGAACGTAGACAACTCGTAAGTCCTGACTTGTTCTGTCCATGCAAGTCATACCCGGTGAATGACGGCGTATCATACCAGATCTCAGCGTAACGGGATTAGGGACAAAGCCTCACCAACACGCATACTTTAACCTGGGCATACAGAGTATGCAAGCTTCTTCTCCATGAAGTTCGCAGACTCTATATGCACTATGAGCATCTGCAGGCCAAATACTCCTACACCCAATGTTTCGCGCGCCTTGAAGATGTTGCTGAAGGCATGTCGCATCAACTGCGTGAAGTACAGTGGCACCGGCCTGACGGAATGCTTTAAGGTTTCATGTAGTACGGGGTTTAGGGCGAGGGTTTCGGGCTGAAGGTAACGGCGGCTGGATACGCAGTCCAAAGAAGATTGTTATCTTGGTGGCAGTTTACTCTCTGATGCGCCTGATCCCGGCATCAGCCCTGAATCCTCGCCTGAGAAGAGTCAGATCGAACAGCCAGTGAAACCACCGGGAAATCTGAGCATGCTAGCATGGGCAACTCCCGGTTCGCTAAACCTGAACCTCAAAAGCTCCGTGCAACCCCTCAACCCTGAACCCTTTGATTAAGGCAGAAGTTTGGGATTTGGATAAGCCCCCATCAAAGCCTCCTCCAAGGCATCGATGTGCTCACGAGACCGAGTGTAGCGTCTGAGGAGGTCCTGGCAACAGAGCCACAGATCACGGTACGAAACCCTTTCGAGGCATGGCTCTGTGGTCCGAAAGCATCATCCATGTTAATGTGACGAAACATTGTAAGATGAGAACCTGCCAGACTAAGACTGTTCGTAAGAGCTACCTGCACCCAGAGAGGTCCTCGCGTGACTCCAATGTGGTTGCTGTGAGCCTCGAGGCAATAGAAGATCGTACTCCAAGTCAGAGTCTCGTGCGCCAAACGTGTTGTAAGCCAAATCCCAGAGGATCCCTCCAAGGTCTTTCCTGTGAAGGGATCGGTTAACATGTTAACGCCGTGGTTAGCCCGGAACTCCGACGCTGGTGAAACTCATCACCGCGAGTCCCGACAAACGCGCAAGCAAAATCCGAGTAGTGTTTCTTATCGAACAGAGGCAAGCTCCGAATTGTGCAAGGTTCAGGGTGCAGAATCCTTTTCTTCCAACCTATTTTTAAATCCTTGCAACTATGTACTTTGCAACCGCAAGCCCAATCCCTCCACGCAGCAAAAGGCGAAGCCGAAATGCTCTGCCGAAACGCTACCCGATGCCTGAACCTCAGTCCCTCCGAACTCTCACCCTGAATCCCAAACTTCACTATCGCATCTCTTCAAAGCATTAGAAGTACTTGTTCTTCTCTACTTGCCCCAACTCCCAAGTCTGAGAGGCTCATGCCTCAGATCCAGTCCACTGGTGGAGAGAGCCGCACCTCAGGCATCAGCGCGTGAGCTTCGGTGCAGGGCCTCACAGGGCCCGGTGGAGCGCCGTCACGCTAAGCCTCAGGCTGAAGCTGAGGTCGCCATCGCCCACCACCAACACCTGTCCGTAAGGCTCAGGGGGTGGGCGGGCTTGGGGCGGCTCAGGTTTTCGAGCTGCTCGGTTTTGGCTCAAATTTCGCATGGGATTCAGGGTTGGCGGAAACGCTTGCGGATGCTTTGGCACGAAAACGACAAAAGAAGGTGCTAGAAGGAAGCACCCTGAAACGCAACATCATCAACAGGGACCTCGAATGTTGAACATTGATTGGCTGGGCTGGGGGTGGGGGCGGGGGGTGGTAACCGTAAGAGGGAGCGACTGGTGTTATCTTACATATGTCTTACATAAAGGAGAATACAAGCGGAACTTGCATTTGGAACTCTGTGTTGTCTCACCCCAACATGTGTCTACATGAACACAATATGCATACTCGGGCACACATGTATGTATTATATATATACATATATATGTATATATAGATGCACAAACATGCTGGTTAGTCCTCTTCAGCACATACGTCAGCAGAACACATTGTAGGTGCGGACAACCGACCACTTTCTTTCTTCCCGTAAAATGCCTAAAGCGTCTGCACAGACAGTCTCTTGTCTCTTGCTGCTATGTTCTTGAATGCTCCCATGATGATTAGTGGCGCTGGTGATGCTTTTCGCTGATATTGAAGGCTCCACATTGGAAACGTCCCTGAACCTTTTCTGCACTTTCCGCCCCCTAAACCATCCAATTGCTGGAGAGGCCTTAGCAGTTAGAGGAGCGTTCTAGGGCACAGTATCGTCTGTTTTGCACGGACGACAAGGATATGCTATCTTCTGTCAAGTTCCGAGCCAGAGGACTTTTGGTCAGTCTGGGTTCGGTAAAGGCCAAACTCCGGAAGGGGAACCCCGGGCTTCGTGAATGCCAAACCCCGGAAGACAAACTTGTCAGCACGAGCCTTCTCTCCGAGCGCAGAGCTGTCAGCGGCGGGATGCAGCCAGCCAAGGCCCATGGCAAATGAAGGGATCCAAAGGGAGTGGAGGCCCTGAACCCAGGACTCTGAGTCTAGGGCTCCAGGGCTTCAGTCACTCTGCTAAGGGCCTCAAGGCCAAGACTCTAGACGCTTCTTCGTAGTGGCAAAGGCATACATCTTAAATGGACCCTGAGCCCTGAAACAAGGTCAAGGGTCTGGGGTGTGGGCTTTACGGGCTAGCCGAGTGGGGGCTGGGGAATTCGCGTCAGCGATTAACAAGCCGGATGTAAGCAATTTACGCTCTTGACTCCTTTTAGGATTGAAAGTAAGTGCTTGGGCTTTTTCGCCGTCAAGGTGTGGTCCACGTTTTCGTAGCACAGTAGTTATCTCCTTTGAAGCCCTGAGGGAAAAAGGTAGGTGTCCGGGTGATACACCCGAAAACCTATGCTCTGTGCATAGAGTCATAGAGACGCTTAGAACTAAGCCTGCAAATCTCCGGTTGAAGTTGGGAGTTTCTAAACATCCCAGGCCCGGTTGTCAAGAGTCCTGAAAACAAGCGGCAACCCTGATACGTATGGCTTATAGGGTGTAGGAGGTGTGCGGTTTCTAATCTGGGCACCCGTAATTCCTGGGATTTCATATCTAGCCTGGGATCTGGAGCAAATCTTCGGAGCCAGGGCAAGATTGCAGAGGCTGGGTCAAAAAATCCACTCTATTAAGACAAGCCGTACAAGTCCAAGACTACCAAAAGCAACGCCTAGAGATGGCGAAGTAGTCCAACAAGGTCTTAGGGTCTTAGGATCATGGGTTTGAAGCGCCATGACCAGGGCGATCGTTGCCGATGGCTTGTTGAAATCTTCCGAAGAGCCCCATCCCATCTGCGAACATATGAGGGTGTTTCAATACCCCGTTTTGTTTGAAGGTAGTGGCTGCTCATAAGGGCCCGCCCCTCAAGGCAACTAAGGAGGCTCTCCCACAACACTCGCGCAGAAAAAAACAAGAACAGGCACACACTCTCCATACAACACGCAATCCCTAGAACCAAGAAGTCTTATACATCCCAGACACAGACCCCTGCAATTCCTACAAGCCAAAACCCTAAGGCCCACAGCTTGTGCGGGAGGGCACGGCTGCTGTTTGATGGACACCGATGGAGGGATCCTTGTGAAGGATCTAGTAGGGTTGAAGGCTGTGGATCCTAAGTGGCTTGGATATGTATTTGACAACGCTGGGGCTCCCGATGTGATGGTGCTTGATAAAGGAGATTGAGTACTGAATAGTGTGCATGTGTATATATCTTTCTTTACCCAGCCATGAATGTTTTGATGATCGTGATGTTCAGGATAGTCGTGACACCGAAGCGAAGCATTCTGACCTTTCTTCGTATCCTGATCTCAAGTCTATCTATGCCTTGCTTCATGACATGCAGGCCGCTAATAGTGGCCACATGTTCTGTGGAGTAAGGGGGTAGACCCTCTTAAACAGCCAAGTCAACCTCTGAAACACCGAACCTTCACGCCTGCATTTGCGGCCTCTACAGTAGCATGACCTTGCAAGCATAAAGGCTCGCCTGCTTCCTGTGCTCGTGCTTGCTTCCTCGACTGCGCATGCAAGTGCCAAAGCTCAAACCACTACACAGAGCTCTCTTAGCCAATGATTGATTACAAACAGTGCAAAAATGTGATACTAGAGTGTACTAGACAAGCCGCATCACCACGGGAAACCAAAGCACGAAAACCCCAATGCAACACTGTCGTGTTTGGGCAAAGCCCCGGAACAAATACGAAACTCTGAACATTGAAGCCTCAACCCCAAAGCCAGCTGATCAGGGCCGGATCGCTTTAGCATGCCTCCTCTGGTGATCTTGACAGTCCTGCAGTCTTCTCAAGTGCAAAAAAAGCGAGACTGGGGGGTAGCAGACTCCGAGCCGAAGCCCAAAAATCCGCGTGGTGAGCCTTCTCAGGGCACCAGGGTTTGGGTGGCTCAAACTGTGAGGGTGAATGTCACACTCGGTTCAATTACACAGGTATCCGCAGTGTTGAATGTCAAGCTTTTCGTTGTAATTCCGTTTCTGCCAGTCTTTGCATGGCCTTTTGCAATGCGAAATTTCTCGACCTGCGACAGCCACACTACTACCATTGCTACTACTCCTGCTGTTGCTACTGCTACTGCTACTGCTGCTGCTGCTGCTGCTGCTGCTGCTGCTGCGGCTGCTGCTGTTGCGACGGCTAGCGCTACTACTGTTGCCGCTGCTCGTGCTCCTGCTGCTGCTGCTGCTGCTCCTGCTCTTGCTGCTGCTGCTGCTGCTGCTGCTGTCCCTGCTGCTTCTGCTGTACTGCTCACCAGTCCAGACGATGGAACCCCCAGTACTGATGTGAAATTTGGCACAAGTGGTTCAGGCGGCCCTGGAAAGCCAAAAGGTACCGACTGAGTAGCGGGCACATATTTCTGATTGCCGGGTAGTGCCCCGACATCGTACCTATGGCACGGGGATGTCGGCTTCATGGCGGTGTTCAAAGTTGGTTGTGAGCGGATATCCCCTAGCTTCCGCGGATAAGGGGCTTGGAATTGGAAGGCTTCGGGCAAACGCAAGGCGTCTGGCGTGCTCAGAAACTCGCGATGACCATGGTGTCAAGGCTTGCAGAGTTCATGGTTCTGGCCGATGTAAGCAATTCAAATCCAAACATTGCTCTCTGTATGAGCACTTGTGTGACTGGCCGGGTAGGGTCTCAGTGTCGTGACCACGCCTGACTAACCTAAAGCTGCTTAAAAGTATCAGACGACGACTCCATGCAAATGCAACAAGATACCATCACGTGGTTGCTTCAACAATACTTTTGACGCATACCGCAGTGCCGCAGTGCATCGCTAACCGAACCGTTTGTATCGCTGATTCTGTGGTCACGTACCGAACCGATCGAACCGGTCCGTACCGCAGAATATCGCAACCGTCCCACCACCATGCACCTCACACACCTCCAGCCACCAACCCTCCAACCACCAGCGCTCCAGCCCCTCCGGCCTCCGGCCGCCAGCCCGTGCCCTCCAGCACCTACCTCCACTTGCCCTGGTCAAGGAGAATGGTGGTGCTGGCGTGGCTGGGGTGGCTGGTGGGTCTGGCTGGCTGGTGTGGCTGTTATGGTGGGTATTCGGTATGGCGTATCGCTACCGAACCGAACCGAAGCTCCGCAATACTGGCAGTACATATACCGCTTAATACTGCATACGTATCACTATCGGCCGAACCGCCCCATTACAACCATGTTATCAGTCAGTTAGTTAAAGTTACCAAGTACAACAATAGCAGCAGCAACAGGAACAGCAACACCAACAGCAATTTTCAATTGACCGCTGCACGAGCGGACTGCACGCATGGCGGGCGATTACCGCACACCAACAGCAACAGCGGTAGCAACAGCAACAGCAACAGCAAAAGCAGCAGCAGCAGCAGCAGCAGCAGCAGCAGTCGCAGCATCAGCAACAGCAACAGACTAACGCCAGCACCAACACCAACACCGCCAACACCAACACCAACAGCAGCAACTGCTACTAGTACGGCTACAGCCACTGCTGCTGCGGCTAGTAGCAGTACTAGTAGCGGTACTAGCAGCAGTGCTAGTAGCAGTACTACTACTACTACTACTACGACGACGACTACTACTACTACTGCTACGACTACGACTACGACTGCGACTCCGACGACGACGACGACACCCACGACGACGACTACTACTCTATCCCAAGTGTCAAGCTGCAAGGCCTAAAGCGTCAATCATGCCTTTGCTTATACACATGAACCGTGGTCTTTCATCTTTCGACTCGACACAAGCTACATTCACATCCTGAGCTCTACAAGGGAAGTCGGTTACTAAAATCATATACATCGTGAGCCGAAAGGCTTATACCTAATACACTGAGTCCATGAGCTGGTCAGCTCTGTGGCCCTTGGGGGCACTGTCGTTTCCTGAGGAAGGCATCGAAGGTCTCGAATTTGGGGTCGGCCTGGCACCAGGAAGGGGACTAAAGTTTTAGGCTTTGCAGTTGTCTTATAATTGGCTGCAAGATTGTTTTGGCTTAGGGTTCGACGCTTGGCTTGGCGAATGGGGGAGCCGGGACCAGTGCGAGGACAGCCTTTTCCCTTAATTTTCTGATGTAGTCGTGGAGGGGTTCAAGGCCCATGGTTTCCAACGCGCTGCTCGTGGGTCATGTACTGGCAGCACTATCAGGCTATACTCAGCTTGCAATTCGACCTTTACGCCTCAAAGCTTCGCATCGGCTCAGGGCCATGGGCCAAGACTCCAAGCGGGACTTCGGACTTCGGCTAGCGACCGCAGACTTGATCACGACTTCAAACTGGGGATTCTAATCTCGCCTTCGGCCTAAATAGGATCCTGCCTCCGGGATTATACTGAAAGTTTACTTGCGGTTTCTGAAACTGCCTGGTCCAACCAGCAATCGACCGTTTCATACCAACCTCAAGACGCTGCGTCACAAACCCTGATGCCCGACGCCGATTCTTTGCTGGCATGCGCCATGCCAAGACGAAAACTAGTCCAGTCAACAACTAGGACCACCACCTGTTATCAATCGGAACCCTGTGAGGTCACATGACAAGCATGCTGTACGAGTTCTGAAACTTTCGGCTAAGAAGTAGCCCCAATTGTCGTGAGGATAATGTGCATCCCGAACCCTTCAGGCTGCCCTTTTCAGACGATGCCTTCTTGCCGTCGCTTTCGACAGCCTGCCCATGTCAATTCAATATGGACTTTACGGGCTTCGATCCCGAGACCGGCCTCAACGGAGGCAAAGTCAATAAGTCATCTTTTTGATGTACCTACTCAAATGCAGCGTTTCTAATTTTCTAAGGCTCGAGACAGCAACATATGTCAAAACACCCTTTTGAGGGTTCTCATTTAAATCAAAAGGCTCTGCTCAGTCCGCCAGCACAACTTTTGGGGTCTAGGGTCTGGGGTTGACGGCAGGCTGGCTGCAAACAAGAAAGCTTCTGCCCAAACCCTGCCGTCTGCACCCCACCGACT